GGGTTTAGGGTTTAGGGTAGGGGCGTCCTCAAAGGGCTCCAAAAAAGCTGTAGCGTCGGGAGTCCAGGGTCTGAGGTGTAGGGTTTAGCCTGTAGCGTTTCGGCTTTCGGGTTTAGGTGGTTGTTTGTTAAGTGCTGGGCTAGGACCAGAAAATCACGTGTTGAATAGAATACCCAGCCAACCGAGAATCCCAAGTTTTTATTACCTAGGTTTAACCAGAATACACCCACAGACTAGTCTTTAAACCCCACGATGCAGCCCCAGAATGGGCCCTAAACCCTATCACACAGCTCAAACTGATCACATGTCGATAAGGACATGTGCCTAGGCCCACGCACGCAGTGTGCAGGTTTGCCCAGGCCGAATCAGGGTGCCGGTCCAGCCTGCCTATGCATGGGGTGTGCTCTTGCTCGCCTGCGACCAAAGAGAAACCCTAAACCCTAAACCCTAAACCCAAAACCCTAAACCCAAAACCCTAAACCCTAAATCCTAAACCCGAAACCCTAAACCCTGATTATAAAAGAGAGGCCCCAACCGCACTTCAATAACAAAACTGAACCCGAAAGCCTAACCCGGCCCAGGTTTAGAGTGGCTTATTTGTTAAAGGGTTACGACAAGGCTCTTGTTGGGTTTTCCGGGGTTCTTCCTTTGAAAGGATCCTTTCTGGGACGGATAAGGGATCCGCCAGGGCTTCGGGAGTGGATCTAACAACTTCGAGGATTTCAGGCCTCGGACACAGACAGGGGTGGAGGGGAGGTGTCATCAGGGTTTGGAATATTTGGATAACTTGCTGGTACTTAAAGCGGGTTGGGCTCAGGGATATAGGGTCCTGGATGGATGACTCACCCTAAACCCTAACCCCCGAGGACAGGGACGTCGGATGGTTTCGGCTCCTTTCCTGAAGAAGGGTTTAGGGTTTAGGTTTATGGTTTAGGATTCTGCCATACAAGAGCCCTTGAGGACAGGTACTTTAAACAAATCGTGGTCCACATGGCTTATTGCTAGGCTTCGGGGGTTTGAGGACTTCGAGCTCCGGGTCTTTTCTAGGCCTGGAATTCAACGACTCCCCCTGAGGGTTGGGTTACAGGTTTCCGTGATCGGGCTGCTCTTTTGGTGACTCGCGTTTAGAACCCTAAACCCTAAACCCTAAACCCTGTTTGGGGCTTCGGGTTTAGATTTGAAGGATCAGACGTCATGCTACGACGAGTAGAACCCATGAGGCGCCATGCCTTTTCTTTCTCACTCCGCTTTGCAGACATCGCGGCAACAAACGGATGGTGAGATGCCCCGGACCCTAAATCTTTAACCCTAAACCCTAGAAACTAAAGAGCCTCAAAACGAAAGACTAGATACACCCTAAATCCCGCAAAAACCCTAAACCCCTAAAAGCCCTAAGCCCCTAAACCCCAAAAACCCTAAAACCCTAAACCCCAAAAAACCCTTAACCCTAAACCCCTGAACCCCTAAACCCCAAACCTGATCCCGGGAAGTCAGCTGCGCGCTCACTCTCCATCCGGAGGTTGATCATGGGACTTAGTAAGTAACGGTTTAGGGTTTAGGGTTATAAGTCCCCTAATTGGAGTTGTAAGTATAGTTACCTTCGTTATAACCCTACTTACTAAGTCCCATGATCCTTTAAGTAAGGGCCAGCATGGCCGGCGTGGCCTCTGTTTCGGGCACGCCCGCTGAGAAGAGGCTGACCTTCAGGCCTGGTCAGGGCTGAGGGTTTAGGGTGCATGGGTTTAGGGTTTTAGGGTTCAGGGGTTTGGGGTTTAGGGTTTAGGGTGTAGGGATGTTTAGGGTTTGGAGTTTTAGGGTTCAGGGGTTTGGGGTTCAGGGTTTCGGGTTTCGGGTTTGACGTCAGGACCTAGGGCCTAGGTACAGGGGAGTAGGCGGCGTGGGGTTTGGTTTTATGCTGGCTGGCGGGAATTCCGGGTTTCGAGGTTGAGAGATTCGGGTTTCAGGCTTCAGGTGCGGCATCTAGGGCACAAGTCATAGAGCCTGCCCCTAGACCCTAAAACCTAAACCCTAAACCCCAAAACCGAAACCCTAAAACCTAAACCCCAGACCCTAAACCCTAAACCCTAAACATCCCTAAACCCTAAACTCTAAAGAACCCTAAACCCCAAACTCTGGGCTCCGAAGGCTGCGCTGACGCAGAGTCACGGGAAACCTTGAAAAAACGCTGCATGTGCCGGAGTGGACACCTGCAGTTTCCGAAGATCACCCATATGGGGAGTTCTCTAAATTAGGGTCCCTTTTAGGATCCTTTTTATAGGGGTGCCGATAGCTATATTGGGGACCTAAACGGGGCCGTAATTTAGAGAACTACCCTGGTCCTTCAAGGGGTTTAGGGTTGAGGGTTTAGGGTACCTTATTTTGGCGTCCTTATAATAAGGATCCTGCTATTTAGGGTGCTATATGAGGGTCTTATTTTCGGAAACTCCCATATGCCAGACCTAACCTACGCCCTAAAACCATCCTGTACTCCCTCAACCCCAAGCCGTGAACACTCCTGATCACAATGCGCCCTAGACGTTCGACCCCAAGCCCTAAATCCTACATCGTCCTAAACCCTGAACCCGAACCCCTAAACTCTAAACCCTGAACCCGAAACCCGACCTGCCTATCTGAGGCCACTTCTTGATCAACTCGGCATATGCAGGCAGCTTTAGCACCTGTCAGGATTCGGGTAGTTGTCAAAATTATGGTCCCTTTTTGGGTACCCTAAATAATAGGTGCCGTATTATAATAAGGACCCAAAAAGGGACCATAATTTTGACAACCACCCACTCGGGTTCAGTGTGGGCCTCTCGGTTAAATAACAGACGGTTGAAGGTTTCAGGCGGCCTAGGTTGAGGGTTTCGGGATTAGGGTTTAGGGTTTAGGGTTTAGGGTTTAGGGTATAGGGTTTAGGGTTTAGGGTTTCGGGATTACGGTTTTAAGATTTAGGCATTAGGGTTGGAGGGTTGAAGGCTTTAGGCTTAGACACGGCCTGGCCACGGCTAAGTATTGAGCCTGAAGCTAGGCCCCTACATCTCAACACACACGTTGCTTCAGACAACAAGGGTACCGTATTTTGGGGTTCAGGGGTCTAGGGTTTAGGGTTTAGGGTTTAGGGGGTTTAGGGATTAGGGTTTAGAGTTTAGGGGGTTCCTCCTATTGCGGATCGTAAGGCTTATGGGTCGTGAGACTCTGATGTTGTAACGACGCAGTCCAGCTCAAGCCGTGGCCCTTGAGCTGCACTCCACATCCAAGCCCTGAAAGCCCCAGACCGCGAAGAGAGGCCAGGGGGGTTTGGGGTTTAGGGTTTGGGGGTTTAGGATGTAAGGTCTGGGGGTTTAGGGGTTTGGGGGGTTTAGGGGTTTGGGGGGTTTAGGGGTTTGGGGGTTCAGGTGTGTAGGGGTTTAGCGGTTGAGGTGTTTAGGGGTTTATGGGTTTAAGGTTTTAAGTGTTTAGGGCTTTAGGGGTTCAGGGGTTTGGGCTTTAAGGGTTTAGGGGTTAGGGCTTTATGGGTTTAGGGTTTTAGGTGTTTAGGGCTTTAGGGGTTAGGGCTTTATGGGTTTAGGGCTTTAGGGGTTAGGGCTTTATGGGTTTAGGGGTTTGGGGGTGTAGGACCTGGCTCATGTTGGTCTTCATGAACTCAAGGCAAGCCTTCTCGAGCTGCTGCGCCTGAAGGGAGGCGCCGGTGGCTTCTGAGGGATCAGGGTTTAGGGTTTAGGGTTTAGGGTTTAGGGTTTAGGGTTTAGGGTTTAGGGTTTAGGGTTTAGGGTTTAGGGTTTAGGGTTTAGGGGTAAGTCCCTATAAACCCTAAACCCTAAACCCTATAAAACTTAAGTAAGTCCGAATCATGGAGATCCCCTCCCACATCCTCTTGTGGTACCAAACTACATGTTCTGAAAGAAGCCGGAAGTTTTCGAACCCCCCTAAGTCCCAAAGCAATTCCTGAGCCCCCGCAGCCCTTCGCCAGGAATCCCCGTTAAAACAGAAAACAGGGCCCCTAAAGAAACTTGGATGAGAGTTCACAAACCTTGCGAGCCTCGCAAAGAAGGCATAAAGTGACATTGCAAGCCCTCTCCAAGCAAATACTAACTGCCCAAATGGTGGCCGTCATCATCATCATCATCATCATCATCATCATCATCCTCATCCTCATCATCATCGTCGTCGTAAAGAGTAAATAGAAGCAGCACTAGTAGCAGTCGTAGCGATGATAGTGATGACCGATCTTCTGATCACTCTTCTAGATCGGCGTTGGCGATGAAAGACCCCGGCCTGGATCAGATGCGCCTGGCGCAGAATGTTGCACACCTCCGAGGTGGTGATCTGCTGGTAGAGCTTCCATTCCTTTCCGGGGCTTCTGGGCTGATAAGGCTTTGAGGGTTTGTTTAGGGTTTAGGTGTTTAAGGTTTGGGTGTTCAGGGTTTAGGTGTTTAGGGTTTAGGTGTTTAGGGTTTAGGGCTTAGGGTTTAGGGTTTAGGTGTTTAGGGTTTAAGAGTTTAGGGTTTAGGTGTTTAGGG